ATAATGCTTGATTCAAGCCCGAGCTCGTGTGCGCTGGCACCTGCGGGCACGAATGTCATCCGGAAATTAGTCCGAGCTCGTGTGCGCCGGCACCTGCGGGCACGAATGTTGTCCGGAAATTAGCCCGAGCTCGTGTGCGCCGGCACCTGCGGGCATGAATGTCGTCCGGAAACCCGCCTTGCGGGCTAATTCCAATTTTGAATTGAAACCCATGTTAATGGTTGCTGTTACAAGAAAGTGGAGGGGTGTCCTGCCTATTAAAAGCTATTTAAATCCTCCACCCCTATATAAAAAGGAGTTGGGCAGTAGAGATTTACATACAACAAGAAAGTATCATTTTTTGCCTCAAAACTCTCTGCTTCTACTCTTTCTTAGCCATACTATGTTCACAACCTTGCTTTGTTCGCCGGATTCCTTGTTTGGGTGCTCAAACATTGAATCACAGCAAGTTTTATCCTGGGAAGCCTAGGTCACAAAGCTCCTAGCACTTTTTGGGAGGTGGCAAATAAGGTTTTAAGGAAAGAGTGATCACTTGACTCTTGCTGAAAACCCAACACCAAACACTAGCCAAATTCTCCATCTTTCTTTCCCTATTTTCCAGAAAAAATAATAATCTTATTTTATTAGATTATTATTTGTTTTTCTACCAACGGATTTCCAACAGTCTTAAAACCTTATATCTTGTTTTCCCGTTGGTGGTCTTCTCCGAATTTCCTTGAAGAAAATGGAGCATCCCGTACTGCCAATCGATGGGGAGGATAATGTTGTTGCGGACAACAATGGAGGAAACGACAACAATGTTGCTAATTCCCAAGCTACACCAGTGAACGTTGGTTCACAAGACGGTGGGAGCACTGAGGGATATATTCCCATGACTCGGGTACCTTCGGTACCGAGTGGATCGACTGAAAAGTCGGAGAAGTTCACTAGTGTTGGTTCGAACTTCAAGAGGTGGCAACAAAAGATGTTGTTCTACCTAGCAACTCTCGGCTTGGCAAGGTTCTTGTCCGAGAGTGTTCCTGAGTTGAAGGAACAAGATGCACAATCTGTGATGGCAGTTGGCTATTGGAAGGATTCAGACTTCCTTTGCCGAAACTACATCCTGAACGGATTGTGTGACACACTATATGATGTATATCGAAAGATAAGCACATCAAAAGCGTTGTGAGAAGCTTTGGATCATAAATACCGAAGTGAGGATGCCGACTCAAAGAAATTTGTGGTTGGCCGATTCCTCGACTTCAAAATGGTTGATTCAAAGACCGTGCTAAGTCAGGTAGAAGATTTGCAATTAATCTTTGACGAGATCCATGACGCGGGCATGATACTGAGCGAAGCCTTCCAAGTGGGATCTGTGATCCACTTGCTGCCTCCAGGTTGGAAGGACTTCAAGAACTACCTTAAGCATAAGCGAAAGGAGATGAACCTGGAGGACCTGATCCAGCGACTCAGGATTGAGGAGGGGAACAGGACGAATGATAGGAAAGTTCCTATTGTTGTTGGCGCTAAGGCCAACGTTGTGGAGCATGGTAAAAGCTCCAAGAGGAACAAGAAGGACAAGCGAAAGCTAGGTCCGAAAGGTGGCGTTACCAAGAACAAGTTTCCTGGTGAATGCTACAATTGTGGCAAGCCTGGCCACAGAGCATCTGAATGCAAAGCTCCAAGGAAGAAGAACAAGAGTTCTGAAGCCAATGTTGTTGGAGATAGCAGTCAGAAGGAGGTCGAGGTGGTAATAAGTATTTTATCACGTTTATCGATGATAGCACACGATACTGCTATGTGTATTTGCTAAAGAGCAAAGATGGAGCCGTTGATAAATTCGTTCTTTATAAGAATGAAGTGGAAAACCAACTTAATCGGAGAATTAAGAAGGTTAGAAGCGATAGAGGTGGTGAGTACGAAACACCGATTGGTGACTTCTGTGCAAGTGTAGGTATCATACACGAGTGTACGGCACCTTACTCACCTCAATCGAACGATGTTGCCGAATGAAAGAATCGTACATTGAAAGATATGATGAATGCGATGCTTATAAGATCGGGCCTGCCTCAAGATGCGTGGGGTGAGGCGATTTTGACAAGTAATTACCTTTTGAATAAGGTACCCCGCAAGAAGCTCGATAAGACTCCTTATGAGCTGTGGAATGGTAGGAAACCTTCCTACTAGTACTTGAAAGTGTGGGGGTGTCTTGCCAAAGTTTTGGTGCCAACACCTAAAAAAGTAAAGGTAGGTCCTAAGACGGTGGACTGTATCTTTATTGGCTATGCACATAATAGTAGTGCTTATCGGTTCTTAGTACACGAGTCCCATAATCCGGACGTACATGAGAACACGATAATAGAATCAAGGAATGCATATTTCTTTGAAAGTATATTTCCTTGTAGGTCCAACGAGGGACCAAGTACGTCAAAACGAACATTTGACGAAACTATGGATAATGATAGTGGGGAATCTGAGAAAGAACCCGAGTTCGAGCCGAGACGCAGTAAGCGGGCGAGAGTTGGAAAATCATTCGGTCCTGATTTTCTAACTTGTGTATTAGAACATGAACCTGATTTTCTAACTTGTTTGATAGAGAACGAGTCTCGAATGTATGTAGAAGTCGTGACTTCTACGGAAGGACCAATGTGGAAAGAGGCTATAAAAAGTGAAGTGGATTCTATCCTACAGAATCACACTTGGGAACTTGTTAATTTTCCTTCGGGTAGTAAACCCTTAGGATCCAAGTGGGTCTTTAAAAGGAAGATGAAACCTGATGGTTCCATCGAGAAGTATAAGGCTAGGCTTGTAATCAAGGGTTACAGGCAATGCGAGGGCCTTGATTACTTCGACACGTATTCTCTTGTGACGAGAATAAACTCCATTAGGATTATACTTGCCATAGCCGCGTGAAAACCGCTGTAACACCCCGTGTTACGATCCCTAAAACCAATTAAATCATTTAATCAATTACCCAAAAGAAAGAATTAAATTACAGAAATTAATTAGGAAAAGGCCCACCATAGTCCGTGGGCCCTCATCCCTAAACCCAACCCCTAGTCCTAGAAGGAATAGACCCTAAGTAAGACTCTTAGATATATAAATAGGGAACTTAGAAGGCACCTAGAACCCCCACCACAATAATCTCTCACCACCCAAAGAGTTCCAAGAATTCCCTTAGGAAAAATCAAGAAAGCAAGAAAGCTTAAAGAAAGACCCTTCATAGCCAAGGAATTAATTAAGGCTAAGAGGTAACCCATGTCTCAACAAAACCTATTTTTATAGCTATGATTCCCTTCTTAGGGCTTCCCCCATGTTATTGTGTATCGATGATTCGTGGTTTTATTATTGATTAATTGATGTGGTGATTCCATAGGTGATCTTGATGATGAGAGGATCTTGATAATTATGGTGTTCTTGATGATTGTGTGGCATTCTTGATGATTATGTGATGTTCTTGATAATTGTATGATATTCTTGATGCTTATGTGTTGTTCTTACCAAACCTCGATATAAGAAGATGAGTTGTGTTCTCGTTGATTAAAAAGTGATTAGAACCCTAGGTTGTATCATTGATATCATTCTTGGTATATTGGGTGGGAATTCGCATGTTTGGGTGTTAATTATGTTTAGAAAAGTATGATAGGATACGTGTCGTATGTTTCTTGATTGTGATCCGTTAATTGTCCACGTGTTGTTACCAATTGCGTTTGAAAGTGTCCAAGCATGGTTTCGGGTTCCACAAGGGTTCCCGGGACGTTTTTGTGTTGAAAGGAGTCAGTGGGGGGTAGGTGGGGGTAGGGGACCCGCCACCTACCCGCGGCCGACTTGGGCAGCTCCGGCAGCGGGCAGCTGCCCGCCGGGCACCCGCTGCCTGGAACAGTAACGCTGGCGGGCAGCCGGCGGGTGAGCCCGCTGGAAAATATCCCAACCAGGGATTCCGGCTTCCCCGTTTGATGTTCCCCCGACCCCCGTGGCGTCCCGACGGACCCCTCCTATCGTGCCTATGTCTAGTTTGATGTTCGGATACCGTTCGTAGGTCGAATGAGTCTTGTATATTGCATACTAGTTGAATTGGTATCCCGTTGACCTAGGTATAAGAAGTATGAACCCCTTAGGAGTATTCTTAGTTGTGGATGACCACGCATAGATTTCGTTATGCGTTTCCCCCCTTCTCAATGTGTTAATGTGGGTTGCATGTGCTTGCTATGTGTTATGTGTGCATGTTACCCCGATTTGGTTGAGATCAATCGGGCTATACGGGCAGTCGGATGGGCTGAGAACCATACCGGCTGTTAACCAGGATGGTTAAGATCGGTCAGGTATATAAATATTATGTTGGACAGAGGTCCACTATACGGGCAGTTGAATGGGTTGAGAACCATCCCAACTGTTAACCAGGCCGGTTAAGATCGGTCAGGTATATAAATATTATATAGGACAGAGGTCCACTATACGGGCAGTTGAATGGGTTGAGAACCATCCCAACCGTTAACCAGGCTAGTAGAGACCGGTCAGGTATATAAATATTATATAGAGCTGCGGTTCATCGGTCGGTTGCGATCGACCCCTCCGTATTGTGAGACGGGGCAGGGTGCTGCGGGGCCGTGTCAGAGCTATATGCGCTGACCCTCATGTATGGCATGCGATTGGTCCTATGGCGCTAACAAAGTGTGCTATGTGACAAGATAAGAAGAATTGATGATATGACTGTTATGGAAACATGACCACAGGATTCTTGCTAGTAATACTTAGTTGTGATTGTTGGTTGTGCTTGCCTATAACTGTGCCCTATGTGAGAACTGTATATGCTTGTTATGACTGTTGCTTGTGCCTAGCTCTGCCTGTCGAGTCTATCCCTTTTTTGAAAGCTAGAGTTCGTAGGATATATCTTCATGCTTCAAAATGACTTTTCGTATATCTATATATATGTCTCTATATGTATTGTATTTCAATGCGTTGGAGAGGGTTACCAGCATCTCTCGCTGAACAGATATATTTGGCTTTCAGGCACAGAAGATTAAGTCACTGGAGCGCGCTAGAACTTGGAGCATAGAAGTAGATAGTTCCCCTTTCGGCTTGCGTGCCACGTTTATGCATTTACGCTTTTGAGGAGTATTAGTTAGTTAGCCTGTGCACCTGAGTTCTGTAGCTCAGGTGTGGCATAGCACCCCGAACTCTTGTATTATGTTTTGGGATTTAATAAGGTTCTATATTTATTATATAAGTTTTAAAAAGTCTTGAAAATCTGGGGTGTTACAACCGCTTTCCTAAATGGCGAATTAGATGAGGAAATCTATATGGAACAACCCGAAGGGTTCGTGGTTCCGGGCCAAGAAAAGAAAGTGTGTAAATTGGTTAAATCGTTCTATGGTTTAAAACAAGCGCCTAAGCAGTGGCACGAGAAGTTTGACCATGTGATGTTAACTAACGAGTTTAAAATAAACGAAAGTGACAAATGTGTCTACGTTAAGGAAATGATAGACGGCTACGTCATTCTTTGTTTATATGTCGATGATATTCTCATCGTTGGTAGTAATGATCGGATGATCAAGTCTACCAAAAACATGTTAAATGCGAGATTTGACATGAAGGATATGGGTTTGGCTGATTTAATCCTTGGAATTAGAATCATTAGAAGACCTAATGGTCTTGTGTTGAGCCAATCACATTATATTGACAAAATCCTTGAAAAGTTTAACAAGGATGATGGTCAAATGGCTAGAACACCGTTTGATACAAACATTCATCTAACCAAGAACCACGGAGAAGGTATTTCACAAGTGGAATATGCTCGGGTTATTAGTAGTTTGATGTATCTTATGAGCTGTACTAGGCCGGATATTGCTTATGCGGTTAGTAAACTCAGTAGATTTACGAGTAACTCCGGTGCTATGCACTGGAAGGCAATAGTAAAGGTTATGAGATACTTGAGGTATACTCGTGATCTTGGACTGCACTACAGGAGATATCCCGCTGTACTTGAAGGGTATAGCGACGCGAACTGGATATCTGATATTAAGGACTCTAAGTCCACGAGTGGCTACGTGTTTACACTAGCCGGTGTAGCCGTTACATGGAAATCCTCTAAGAAAACTGTGATAGCTAGATCCACGATGGAATCTGAGCTGATAGCCTTGGACAAAGGTTGTGAAGAGGCTGAATGGCTACGCCATTTTCTAGAGGATATTCCGAATTGGGAAAGACCGGTACCTCCAATATGTGTGCATTGCGATAGTCAAGTCACAATTGGGAGAGTACAGAGTCATATGTATAATGGTAAGTCTAGACATATGCGTCGGAGACATAATACCATTAGACAACTGCTCACAACTGGTGTTGTCTCGATTGACTACGTAAAGTCAAAAGACAATATAGCGGATCCGCTGACCAAAGGGTTAGGCAAAGAAGTTGTGGAGAAGTTGGCACGAGGAATGGGTCTAATGCCCTTGGACTAAAAGGTTCTATAGTGGATACCCGACCTAGCTGGCACCTAGGTTCAATGGGACAACTAAATTATGGAACGGAGCGCGTCACTGTGGGGGTCTCGGACTCCCTACCACTGCTGGTTAAAACAGTGACTCCCTCACGAGGCTAGCATGTTGATGCTTTAATGATTCTTGAGTATGCGGGATACTCGAGAAAGAATCACCTATGTAAGAGAGAAGTGATGGTCGCTTCAAAGGAGAATTGATGGGCAACAATTCTTTAAAAACTCTCATAGAACCAGGAACGGTGACCCACGACCAAAACGGGCACACTCGTGAGAACAAGAGCATGGTTGGGAGGTTCCTGTGTGAGATATGTCATCGTCTACACAAACGGCAGTCGGTTCAAAGACATCGCGTTCTACCGTACAGTCAGTAGAGTAAACATGTCTTCACAAGGGAAGGTTCAAAGGGTATAGTGACTCCCTACCTATCCTATGCAGGAATCGACCGTTTGAACACAGTTGTTTCCGATTTCAAAATACCCTGAAAATCAATTTTTCATTCATGTGGGGGATTGTTGGAAAAAATAGCATAAAATGGCATGTTAAGTGGCTATTTTGTGGTACAATTATCAGTGGCTCAAATTCCAACCAGAAAAGAGAGCGAAAAGTCTTGATTCAAGCCTGAGCTCGTGTGCATCGGCACCTGCGGGCACGAATGTTGTTCGGAAATTGGCTGGCCTTGCGGACTAAGTTATGCCAAACATCGGTATCATTTTTAGCCTTGCGACCCGTTAACACGACATGATATCGGACACGAAAATAACGGGTTAGTGTTTAACCTTAACGTGTCCCCGGTCGTTAACGGGTTGACCTGTTAAGGACCCGTTATGTTTCGTGTCTTAACGGGTCAACCTGTTAAACCTATTAAGAACCCGTTTAACCCGTTAATATTATTGTGTTAACCCGTTTACACAAACCTGTTTATAACCCGCTAAGAACCATTGTCATTAATGAGATCACAAAAGATATCATGAAGATGAGTACATGACTAAGGATGAATTTACTACATTAGGCTAAAATCCTACACC